AAAAGATGGAAAAACAGTTCAAATACTTCGCGTAAAGGCACGACGATTAAGCGTCCCAGTACACGAAAGACTGCTTCAACAGGAGCGGCCAGCAGGTACGGGCTCCCTTCTGCTGTTGAACAACTCCCTTCTGCTGTTGAACAGCTCCCTTCTGCTTTTGAACAACTCCCTGCTTCTGTTGAACAGCTTCATTACTCCTGGAGAATTTTCTTATAATTGAAAATATATTTCCCTGCCCGGTCTGGACTTTATGATATAGGTAAGGTAGAGGTAAAGTCGGGAGTGTGAACCAGCGTCATTGCACACGGTAAACTCTGCCACCAGTACGGACAGCTGATAAGAAACTGTCCGCCTGTGTCGCCGTCCGTACGAAACTTCGTATCTACAGCGACGTTCCTTCATTTACCCCACAGTGGTAACTCTGGTACCCATTTCCTAGAGGCTGGGTAAACCCCGGGAACAGTCCGGTTCCGAACACCGGCCGTGTGCTGCAGCGAGTCGTAGCTGGATTTGAAAGCGACTCTCCTATCGACCCCGCTAACGCAGCCTGGGTGTGTGGGGGAGGGGGGGGGGGTGACAATATAACCTTAGAGGGGACAACTGTATAAGACATCCGCCAACAAAGAGCGATGATCCAAAACACACGTCATTATAAGCCGTCTTTAAGATTAAGTTTATATTTGAGTGAGTGGCTTGCAACAGCTGATCTAATGTCTTGACCCCGGCGGAAAGGTTTGTGTGTGTCACGCGTCCTGCCACCCTCATTAAAGCGTGGATGGCACAGCACATGGCTGATTCACAGCAGATTGTGCACGGCTCACATCATTTCTCCCTCACAACGGTTTGTGCAAGGCTCACGTCATTTCTTCCTAACAGCGGTTTGTACAAGGCTCACGTCATTTCTCCCTCACAGCAGTTTGTACAAGGCTCAGTCATGTCTCCCTCACAGCAGTTTGTACAAGGCTCAGTCATGTCTCCCTCACAGCAGTTTGTACAAGGCTCACGTCATTTCTCCCTCACAGCGGTTTGTGCATGGCTCACGTCATGTCTCCCTCACAAGCGTGTCTGTATATCATAATGACACCGTCACGAAAGTGTGTCTACGTCACACGCCATTACTCCTTCACGAGTGTATGTTTACGTCACATTTTATGCCCCCCCCCCCCTCCTTTCCTTTCCCCGAAAGTCTAATACGTGACTTCCCTACGAGGTGTAGAGGTGAGGTAAACGGATGTCCACGCAACACGCAAGTGCTGAAACAAGACAAAGTCTAGAAGTGGACGAACAACTAGAATTTTCTACCGGTATATACAGCATGTGAATGCGAAAAAGAAATAGGGCGAAGAGAAAAATCATTAGAAGGAAGAAGAAAATGATGATGTGAAGCAGGAGGAAAAGGAAGAAGAAAATGATGATGTGAAGCAGGAAGAGAAGGAAGAAGAAAATGATGATGTGAAGCAGGAGGAGAAGGAAGAAGAAAATGATGATGTGAAGCAGGAGGAGAAGGAAGAAGAAAATGATGATGTGAAGCAGGAGGAAAAGGAAAAAGAAGGTCCAGCCAGCTACAGATGCACGTTGCAATGCTAAGCCGATGCTCTAGCAGGCGCAAGCGCCTAACACTTAACTCCCCTTAGGACTGTACCTGCCATGGAATTATCTGCACCTTTGATCTCTACTGCAGCTGGGCCCGGCGTCGGTGCCTGTTTATTTGATGCTCTTACCTTCTACCCCAGTGATCTAATTGTTTATTGTCTTTGTGGCTATCTACCCCAAACCTGCTCAACGCCACACGTTTTCTCCGTCACCAGGTTGTAAAGTCTGAGAGTAATTGGTTGCAGTTGCCAAACGCGTTGCCACTTGGGCTCTGTTTCTTCTCGCTAGTCCTTGAGGTTTTATATTTCTGGATATTAGGAACAGCTGATGCATTGATACCTCGGCTTACGAAGATTATTTGTTCCAGAATCACAGTGGTTAGCCGAAGGGACGAAATCTTCGTTAACTGGTGACTAGACGTGACTGGTGCTAGGATGTTACCGCGCGTACCCACTAAAACACTTATTAGCCGAAATTCAATTCGTTAACCGAATCAAAATTGTATTTCTTTCAAAATGCACGCATTATTATTATTAATAAAGCTATTATTATTATCCTCCTCCTGCTGCTGCTTCTTCTTCTTCAAACAGGTGGTTGGTACTTTGTATTGTGGTTTTACAACTAGGCTGCGAAATCTGCGCCTTTTAGCTTAGCATCTGATTTCAGTTACAACAAATATATGTAGTAGCCTTTTAGGACACGATTGTAAGGGGACGGTGGGTCTACTCTTTCCCCTGGCAAAAACCTGGTCGGTCAGACAGGAAATTCTTGTTGGGTGACGCTACAACAACAGTATCTAGGACGTCATTGTCTTCACCTGGATTTGCTGTTAAGAAGTACCAGGAACGGGAAGTCGCCAGATTTACAAACAAATGGTGAAATCCAAGGAGTACCGCCCAGAAGTTTTTACTATCTCATGGTTTGCCAGCCTACTTCCTGCTCATGGCGGCTTGTAGACTTCCTGTTAATGGCGACGGGTAGACTTCCTGTTCATGCCTGTTTGTGTGGGGGAGGGGGCGTGGGGGGGGGGGGCGGAGATAAAAAATAAGAGGAAGAACAAGAATTGCAAGAAGAAGGACAGCAGCACGAAGAAGAATAAGAGGTAAGGGAAGAAGAAACGAAACAAAAAGAACAGCATCAACGAGGGCAAGACGAGGAACGGGGAGAAGGAAAACAACTGGAACATGGAGACGAACAAGAGCAATAAGAATAACGAAAGCAGTAAGAACAACAAAAGCAAGAAGAGCTAGAACAACAACAAGAGCAAAAAAAAAAAAAAAAAAAAGCAAGAAGAAAATATGGTGGCGGTGATACTAAAAATGATATTGTTACAAGTTAAAAAGGAAAACAAATTCAATTTCAAAGACTAGATGACAGCTGACATGCAGGAATCACTTGAGTGGCATGTACAGATTACGCCAATAAAATCCAAGATTGATATTCTTGATTTTTTTTTAGAGAGCGATAGCAGACGTCGGCGCCTAGCGTCTTTCTAGAACAATTATCACGTGACGAGAGACGTCACTTTGCTGTTGATACCCCATGATCTTGTACTAGGGTGGGCATGAAGACTTGTCCATCTGGTCCTTTTGTCTGTGTCTGCCTGCCTGCTTGTCTGCTGCTTCTGTGTACCTCATCCCCACCCCAAGCGATCAGTTTTGTCAACAGTTGCCCAGTAACAATTAGGTTCAGATGAGATTTGATGACCGTTTTTCCCCCTCTTCCGGGAGTGAGACCCAAAAGATTGATATCGAGTCACCATGGAGCCTTTGTGCAGATGGGAGTATTCTTTTTTTTCGCGTTCAGTGGCTGTAAATTCCATGGGATAGATCTGGTTGTTCGTCCACTTCTGGGTTTCGGTCTTGATCCAGAACTTAAGTTTTGCATGCATATCCATTTAACATATCTTGATTATTTATATGCATACTGTTGATTCCTTGCCTTTGAAGCCTAGACATTCAGACTTCGAAAGAAACAACCCTAATTAGTAGCCTCCTACGACATGCTTGGTATGAACGCAGTGGGTCTATTCTTTGTTCTCCAAACTGAAGCCCGGGAACCCACACGTTGAGGATGGGAGTCGAACGGAAAAGCCAATCGTGGAAACCGTAAAACCACATATATATTGGGCACTAGACGATTACTGTGTAGCTTATAGTGGCTGGCCTTAGTAGCTATCTGCTTCTTTTTGATCGGTTATTAGCTGCTGCCGCTCCTCTTGGCGGTAAACTAGTTTATGGTAAAGCACACGTGGGAACGGATCGCTGGGATCAAGTGGACAGGGCAATAGAACAGACACGGCATCTGTAATCTGAAAGACTAATTAAAGGGAGAAGGGGCGGGTGTGTGGAGATTATTGAAGATAGTCACCACTGAGGGAGGGGGAGGGGAGATTATGGAAGATAGAGATAGTCAACACTGAGGAAAGGGGGGGGGGTGGAGATTCAGGAAGATAGTCAACACTGAGGAAGGAAGGGGGGGGGGGGAATTCAAGAAGATAGTCAACATTGAGGAAAGGGGGGGGGTGGAGATTCACGAAGATAGTCAACACTGAGGAAGGGGGGGGGGGGTGTGGAGATTCAGGAAGATAGTCAACACTGAGGAAGAGGCACATGGAGATTCAGGAAGATAGTCAACACTGAGGAAAGGGGGGGGGGGGGTGGAGATTCAGGAAGATAGTCAACACTGAGGAAGGGGCGGGGGGTGGAGATTCAGGAAGATAGTCAACACTGAGGAAGAGGGGCATGGAGATTCTGGAAGATAGTCAACACTGAGGAAGTGGGGGGAGGAGGGGGTTGGGGATTCTGGAAGATAGTCAGCACAGAGGGAGGGGGTGGGGGAGGAGAAACAGAGGCGGACTTTTATTCACATTGCCACCGGGCAATGTTAGCTTGTCGATTCTTGGTTAGTTACTGAAGAAGGTGACGGATCAGGTGGGGGAATGTCTTGCGTGCAGTGATGTCAGTTCTGGATTCCTTCTTTTATTCTTTCTGTCTTTTGTCTAAACTTCCTGGTCTATTCTTCTCTTAGATTGTCCAACGGCATCATGTTTATGCTATCACTTCCCGTATTTTCACATCAGTTTCTTATTCTCTCACCAGTGTGGGTTTTTAAACGCAAAAGACCCCCCTTCCCCCCCCCCCCCAATTCTTCTTCTACTTCTTCTTAACTCTTAAAAGTCCGGTTAGCAAATTTTTTTCCGTTTTGCTGCAATTGTTATGATTTTCAATCCATCAAATCCAATTTCAGCAATTCGTTGCCCTTTATGTCATGGTCACATAGAGGGAGAAAGCGGGAATCTAGTCCCCCCCCCCCCCCCCCCTCCCCAAAGAATTCATTTTTCCTTTCCTATAATTATCACAAATCATTCTGTTATCAGTAAGTTATTGTAACATTTCTCATTTCAGCTGAACAAGAAACTCATTGAGACAGTCAACATTGGGGGCACTGAGACCGTTCTGAAAGGTACCAAATCATCTTGCAGCTAACATGTTATACCCATGTCCGTTTTCATTTGTCTGATGTCCTCCTCTCACAGAACATCTTCCCGTACAGCAGTGTTCCTCAGCTTATTTGTCTGATGTCCTCTTCTTACAGACCATCATTCCTTACATCAGCGTTCCTCAACTCATTTGTCTGATGTCCTCCTGTCACAGAACACCACCCTTTACATCAGTGTTCCTCAACTCATTTGTCTGATATCCTCCTCCCACAGAACACCACCCTTTACATCAGTGTTCCCCAACTCATTTGTCTGATATCCTCCTCCCACAGAACACCACCCTTTACATCAGTGTTCCCCAACTCATTTGTCTGATATCCTCCTCCCACAGAACATCATCCCTTTACATCAGTGTTCCTCAACTCATTTGTCTGATGTCCTCCTTCCACAGAACATCATCCCTTTACATCAGTGTTCCTCAACTCATTTGTCTGATATCCTCCTCCCACAGAACACCACCCTTTACATCAGTGTTCCTCAACTCATTTGTCTGATGTCCTCCTCCCACAGAACATCATCCCTTTATATCAGTGTTCCTCAACTCATTTGTCTGATGTCCCCATGTAAAAGAACACCATCCTTTACACCAGTGTTCCTCAACCTTTTTACACACACCACCCACCTGTAAATGGCTTCCTGGCCCAGCTGACAGTTAACCAAACACAGAAACAAAAAACATGCATACAGTCAAGTCGACTTTTAAGTCCAACTCCGATAAGTCGATTGGTTAAGTCGACCTGACCAGCTTAGTCCTGGCAATTTTCTCTTATGTGTGTGCTGTCTGGATAAGTAGAAATCCTGATAAGTGGAAGCATTTTCTTAGGTCCCTGCTACTTCTACTAGCAGTGTATTTGTTCAATCCCATGTCACAGTTTTAAGATAATGCTTAGAGCTTAAACATTATGGAGCCTTGTTTCTCATAGATGAAGCAGTACATTAACATCCTTCTGCATGTTTGGTGGATGTGACATCCACTACACTACAGAATCAACCAGTCTTAAACTACTTCACAGATACATATAATGTGCTTGCTGTATTGCCACATTGTATAAAATATTTGTAGGGATATTGATAGTGATCTGGGACACCATTATTCTGTCTTAAGAATAGTATAGAAGATAGTTGATTTAAGTAATCACGTCAGTACATGATGTTTAGGCCATGATGTCAGATCAATGCCTGTTTATTCCATCCTACCCAATGTGACCAAGAAAGCTGCAACCCCCCCCCCCCTTTCGATCCCCACGATAGATTGCTGATTATTGGAAGACCATTGTCTAGCCACTGGGCGTTTACAGCTCTGGTGTAAGGAGAGGAAAGGAAAAAACAGCAATAGTTTTTCTTCAAAGTAATTCTTCAAGGGATGTTAAAATATGTAGGTACTCAATGGAGATAACTTCTGTGATACAAAGTTTTAGCGATTGTGGTATTAATTATTAGAAATATAAAAAAAATATTTTTGCAAATAACACAGTTAATTTAGTTATTGCGGCTTGAATGACATCTGTGAATTTCACTCCTCTACTGGTCACCGTTTGGGAGGATTTCATGTGACACAGAGTATACAGACAAACAGCCAGATGGATTTTCAGTTTTATAGTATAGATTCTGCCCATTCTTTCAGCATGTTTGGATAATGATGTCACACGATTAGTGTATACAAGCACGTACAACGTTATCTTTGGAGGGCAAGAAATCAAGAATGGAGATGAAAGCTTGCCATATCTCACCGACGACAAGGTGAGCTGCCATATTTTCTCTGACTGCATACCAATGGTATGTCTGTCTGTCTGTCTGTATGTATTCTCAGTATCGTTATCTCGCTCATGCTCTTTACCTTCCTCACTTCTTATTTTACTCTCTCTCTCTCTCTCTTTCTCTCTCTCTGAAGTGAGGCCTCATGGGCAGAGCATAAGCAGGCCTACATGCCCAGTCCTGAACATCTTGGGTAGGTCCCCAATAGAAAAACCTGTCCCACAGAGGCGGTGTGAATAGGGCTTGACCAGTTGGAGCCCTGATCCTGATGGATGCCACGCCTCAAGAACACTTAGCCCCCCGTGTGTGCTACCTGGATACTGGTATTTACAGCTTTCCATCCGTCCATCACTTGAGTGGTCGACCTCTGACTCTGCTGCTATTATGTTTAAGTGACAGGGTTCTCTGTGGTGCACTGTCTGCTAGTGGTCTTGACACATGTCCAAACCATTTGATGTGTTGTATCTTGATGTAGTTTAGTACTGATTCCTTCCCAACATCTTTCCTGATATTGTCATGTTTGATCCTGTCTCTTTTAGTTACATTTCAGATTCACCAGAAACATTTTATTTCTGTTGTCTCGATCTTTCTTTTGTCTTTTTTTTATAAAATCCATTTTTGACACTGATAACACAATGTTGGTAAAAAATACTGTATTGTATTGTGCTTTTTTAGTGTGGGTTGTTACATGTTTGTTCTGCAAAATTGGTGACATTTGTCCAATGATTTGATTTGCTTTATTTCATCTGTGTTCTTTCTCTGCTTCATTTCATTTCATTGGATGATATCTTGCTCCCTAGATACTTGAAGTATTTTGCTTGCCTGAGTTGTTGGTTCCCCATGCATATCTTGGTTGGTTCTTCTGTTATTGCAATTGACATAAACTTCTGTTTGTTCGGTCTAAATTTTCGTGTTGTCGGCTTTTGTTGCTATATGATAATAACTGTTTGTGCATGTCACTGTCACCAGTTCACGGACCACTACTCCAGGACCAAGATGCTGGCAGAGCAAAAAGTTCTGGCCACCAATGGACAACAGACTGCCCAAGGGAAGACGTTCAGATGCTGTGTACTGCGGCTGGCCGGTGTCTACGGCCCGGGCGAGCAGAGGCATATACCTAGAATTGTGGTGGGCTGGTTTTTATGGCTTTACTTTTGGTCATGGTCTTCTTCTGCCTCTCCTCCCCTCCACCTTTCCTACTGTCACATTGTACTCCAGTTTTCTCCCTTTCATGACATCACCAAAAGAATTTCTATTGTCTCTTTCTGATGTGGACAGTCACTTCTCTACATCTTAGCATTAGCCAGTACGTATTAAATTAAAAGGACTTCAGTAAAATGTATGTCTCTTACAAAGCTTCTGTTTCAGGTCCCTGTAAATAAATAACATGTTTGTTTTTTTAATTGTAATTATTGCCTAACTCATGCATCAGCAGTGGCCTACTGGGACTCGAAGAGTTAAAAAAAATTCCCTGCCAGGCAGATATTTATAATTGATCCAGCCTAAATGTGGTCCCTGGAAATGAGCGGGGAAGTAAATAAGGCTTGCAAGATAGTGGCCACATCACCTGTTGACAGCCAGCTGGTCTGCAACACTGTATGACTGTCATCATATATCAGAGGTGCAGACACAGAGAAAACATGGATAACATCAGGAGGGGGGAGGCGGAGCTCAGCCCTTTTACAACTTCATTGTGAGAGGACCTCAAGGGACCTCATCCTTATTTAAATGTGTATAATAATATTCACAATGTACAGGATGGCAAATAGATGTTATATTTGAAATAGGAAATTGATAAACAAATACTTGAAAGATGGTTTTAGGAAGTGGCGGGAGGGGTGACACATTCTCTAGAGGTGGTCTCAAGAGACTCCTGCCATATGCCCAGGACACCTGAGCACTTGATAATGTGCCTGTACTTCAAGTGTTTACTGAATAACATGAAGATTAGGATAAATGTTAACATTTCACAATCCTTGATGTGGAAGGAGTTTTAAAAAAAGGGGGGGGGGGGAATGTCAAGATTTATGAAAGAAAATAATCCGTAAAGACAAACAGGGTGAAACACTAAACCGAATACAGTCCACAGGGCCTACAAATCATGTGTATCTGGTGACCGATGCCATGACCTTATGACCTCTATCACTGAAACGTGCGGGAAAAATTTGACATCCACTTGGCTTTGGAAAAAAGCAATTTGGTTCAAAGGAAGAACCCTCTAAATGCTATTTTTAGTTAATGTATTCATATCCTGACCTCCTTAGCACTTGCATGTTAGCGTACACAGGCAGGTTAATTTAACTTTGGGTCTGATAACTATGTCCCTACAGACAAGTCACAGAAGTGACTTTTATGAGGAATTGGACCAACTGAAAATTTCAGATATTCAATTTTTCGAGGCAGAAGGGTCAGATAAATGTAAAAACTTTCAGAAAAGGCTCTCTGATATATATTCTGTTTGAACATTTATCTCTAATGTTTAACATTAACACAGTTACTTCATATAGAAATTTTCTTAATCATGCTCTCTGAATGATTCTCCCTCATGCTAAAAGTAAAACGGTAACTTTATAAAGAAATCATCATCATCATGTTCTCTGTTTGAACAGTCATATCTGGAGCAAGGCTTGGTGAAGGTCACCTACGGCTGCAAGGACTCCAGAGTGGACTTTCTTCACGTGGACAATTTGGTGCAGGCTCACGAGTTGGCGGCCCTTGCTCTTAGAGAAGACAGGCAGTTTATTGCTGTGAGTTGTCATTAGTATAGCAGGGGTGAGGAGGGCTGAGTGGGATTTAAGGTGAGGTGACTGAGGGAGGTGTGAGGTTTGGTGACTGAGGGAGATGTGAGGTTTGGTGACTGAAGGAGGTGTGAGGTTTGGTGACTGAAGGAGGTGTGAGGTTTAGTGACTGAGGTAGATGTGAGGTTTGGTGACTGAGGGAGATGTGAGGTTTGGTGACTGAAGGAGGTGTGAGGTTTGGTGACTGAAGGAGGTGTGAGGTTTGGTGACTGAAGGAGGTGTGAGGTTTGGTGACTGAAGGAGGTGTGAGGTTTGGTGACTGAAGGAGGTGTGAGATTTAGTGACTGAGGTAGATGTGAGGTTTGGTGACTGAGGGAGATGTGAGGTTTGGTGACTGAGGGAGGTGTGAGGTTTGGTGACTGAGGGAGATGTGAGGTTTGGTGACTGAGGCAGGTGTGAGATTTGGTGACTGAGGGAGGTGTGAGGTTTGGTGACTGAGGGAGATGTGAGGTTTGGTGACTGAGGGAGGTGTGAGGTTTGGTGACTGAGGGAGATGTGAGGTTTGGTGACTGAGGCAGGTGTGAGATTTGGTGACTGAGGTAGATGTGAGGTTTGGTGACTGAGGGAGGTGTGAGATTTGGTGACTGAGGGAGGTGTGAGATTTGGTGACTGAAGGAGGTGTGAGGTTTGGATACTGAAGGAGACATGAGATTTGGTGACTGAGGGAGATGTGAGGTTTGGTGACTAAGGGAGGTGTGAGATTTGGTGACTGAGGGAGGTGTGAGATTTGGTGACTGAGGCAGGTGTGAGATTTGGTGACTGAGGCAGGTGTGAGATTTGGTGACTGAGGCAGGTGTGAGATTTGGTGAGTGAGGCAGGTGTGAGATTTGGTGACTGAGGGAGGTGTGAGATTTGGTGACTGAGGAAGGTGTGAGGTTTGGTGACTGAAGGAGATGTGAAATTTGGTGACTGAGAGGAATATGTGAGCTAGGGAGGACAGAGGGAGATGTGAAATTGTGATTGTGAAGGAGGTAGACAGATGAGAGTCAGAGACTGAGCAATTCGTCTCCTTCTCTTGCTGTGTTTGCCCTTTAAAAGGCGGTTGGCATGTTGTGTTTATTTTAAAACACGGCTGCTGTATTTGCATCTTTTGACCCACCATGTCGAATTGCTGCGCACCACTAATTAGTTACTCTTTATAAATTGTTAACATATCTGTATCTCTATAAATTTGTCCATCAAAGCCTGGCATATGATATCACAACGTCTAGTTTGAAAATGGAGGTGGAGGCAGTCACTGCTGCCTTTCGCTGGCTTGAGAATCAGCTGTACACACATATCGTCATTGTAACTGACTCACAGAGCATGTTGAGAAAGGTAGAGACAGGCATGCTCCGTGCAGAGTAGCAAGCATCACTTCAGAGGTCCCGGGTAGTTAGCTGACTTTGTATATTTTCTCCAGGTCATGCCGGTGTGTTGAGAAATGAACATGCAGAAAGACTGGCCGGTTCTGCACCACTTGGTGGTGAACTGATGTATGACAAGCTGGATGTTGTAAGGGCCCTTTGGGAGCGAGTGAACAGTGCCAAAAAACAGATAGATCATTAAGGTCTGAGGAGAATGGCACTGCAAGGAGTTACAAGAGGATCTGGCCGACGCTCGACACTCAGGGAAAAAGGCGAGACGGATATACAATCAGACAGTTACTGGTACCATCGGAAATTTACCTCTTCGCTTGCTGCTGGAGGTGGGGACAGAGCGCAGTGGGGGTGTCCTGAGTGCTGTGATGTCGATTCTTAATTCAACATATAAATTGTAAGAAGAGAAGTGGATCTGGTCTGTTGATCTCCCTAAAATGGGACATTGAAACTCACTCAGGAAAGGCAGAGAAATGGAGAGACTGAGTAAATAAACATTGGGGATAAGAAAGAAATAGACAGAGGAGATAACAGCAGATAAGTGAGAGATCAGTGGATCCAAATGGTAGATCTTTATTTTCACTCACTTTCTGCTCTTTTTTATTTCCTGTTCATAGCTTCCATCAGAACACTAGAATTCACAACTTTTCTGTTCAATTTTGTCAGCTTTTGAACCACCCCCTGCCCTCTTTTGAGTGCTGGGTCCCCATTGGGGTTGGGGGGGGGGGGGTGTATAGACACATTACCCCTTCAACATGTAGTAAAGGTCTACTAATTGGGAATGTTTTCTATTAAAGAATGCATATGCCTGAGAGGCCAGGAACCAACAGTCTGCAAACAAATAAGCCATATCTGTAGAGCGGATGTGATGCGAAACTCAAGTTCTGCAATTAGTCTAAAGTCCAGAAGTGGATAAACTACCAGAAATTTCTGCAAGAGTTTACAGCCGGTGAAAGTGAAGAAGAGGAAGAAGAACAACCAGTTGATCAGCTGGTCAGTTTCTCGAGGCTGAAAGTTTTAGACAGTCGCTGCTTTGGCAGTTACCACCTTCAGGATTGTGCTTGAACTTTAAAATATAGGTCTAGCCCTAAATGCCTAGTACGCCTGAAGCCATGGAAGAGGGTTCTTTATTTTTACTTACTTTATCCCTGTTGTGTTGATGACTGATTAGCCGCAGAGAGTAATGCAGGTTTCTTCAATAATTATTTTTCACAGGCAGGCAAGGCATATTTCATCAACGATAACAAACCGATCAATAACTTTGAGTTTTTCCGTCCTCTGGTAAGTTGGGCAAAGTTGTTATTGTTGTTGTTCCTAGAGATGTTCATATGCATCAGCTGCACAGACATGTCATGATTCTAGCAGACCAAAAAAGTTTGATGGCAAAGGTGGAGTCAAGCCTGTCACATGCAGAGTGGCAAGCATCACTTCAGAGGTCGCCAGTAACCAGTTTGCTTTGGATATTCTCTCTAGGGCATTTAGATGTGTTGGGGAAAAAACAGGCAGACAAACTGGCAGGTTCTACACCATTTAGTGATAAATTGATGTATGACAGACTGGCAGGTTCTACACCATTTAGTGATAAATTGATGCAAGACAGACTGGCAGGTTCTACACCATTTAGTGATAAATTGATGTATGACAGACTGGCAGGTTCTACACCATTTAGTGATAAATTGATGTATGATAGACTGGCAGGTTCTACACCATTTAGTAATAAATTGATGTATGACAGACTGGCAGGTTCTACACCATTTAGTGATAAATTGATGTATGACAGACTGGCAGGTTCTACACCATTTAGTGATAAATTGATGCTAGACAGACTGGCAGGTTCTACACCATTTAGTGATAAATTGATGCTAGACAGACTGGCAGGTTCTACACCATTTAGTGATAAATTGATGTATGACAGACTGGCAGGTTCTACACCATTTAGTGATAAATTGATGCAAGACAGACTGGCAGGTTCTACACCATTTAGTGATAAATTGATGTATGACAGACTGGCAGGTTCTACACCATTTAGTGATAAATTGATGTATGACAGACTGGCAGGTTCTACACCATTTAGTAATAAATTGATGTATGACAGACTGGCATGTTCTACACCATTTAGTGATAAATTGATGCAAGACAGACTGGCAGGTTCTACACCATTTAGTGATAAATTGATGTATGACAGACTGGTAGGTTCTACACCATTTAGTGATAAATTGATGCTAGACAGACTGGCAGGTTCTACACCATTTAGTGATAAATTGATGTATGACAGACTGGCAGGTTCTACACCATTTAGTGATAAATTGATGTATGAGAGACTAGATGTGGTCAAGAACCTCTGGTAGCAAGTGAACAGTATGGAAGCCCAAAGAGATCACCAGGGTCTGGCACAGACAGATCATCAGCACAAACAGATCATCAGCACAAACAGATCATCAGCACAAACAGATCATCAGCACAGACAAATCATTGGTGCAAACAGATCTTCAGCACAGACAGATCATTAGTACAAACAGATCTTCAGCACAGACAAATCATTAGTACAAACAGATCTTCAGCACAGACAGATCATTAGTACAAACAGATCATCAGCACAGACAAATCATTAGTACAAACAGATCTTCAGCACAGACACATCATTTGTACAAACAGATCTTCAGCACAGACAAATCATTAGTACAAACAGATCTTCAGCCCAAACAGATCATCAGCACAGACAGATCATTAGCCCAAACAGATCATCAGCACAGACAGATCATTAGCCCAGACAGATCATCAGCACAAACAGATCATCAGCACAAACAGATCATCAGCCCAAACAGATCATCAGCACAAACAGATCATCAACACAGACAGATCATTAGTACAAACAGATCTTCAGCACAGACAAATCATTAGTACAAACAGATCTTCAGCACAGACAGATCATTTGTACAAACAGATCTTCAGCACAGACAACTCATTAGTACAAACAGATCTTCATCACAGACAGATCATTAGTACAAACAGATCTTCAGCACAGATAAATCATTAGTACAAACAGATCTTTAGCACAGACAGATCATCAGCCCAAACAGATCATCAGCACAGACAGATCATTAGCCCAGACAGATCATCAGCCCAAACAGATCATCAGCACAGACAGATCATTAGCCCAAACAGATCATCAGCACAAACATCATCAGCACAGACAGATCATCAGCACAAACAGATCATCAGCACAAACAGATCATCAGCACAAACATCATCAGCACAGACAGATCATCAGCACAAACATCATCAGCACAAACAGATCATCAGCACAAACAGATCATCAGCACAAACATCATCAGCACAGACAGATCATCAGCACAAACATCATCAGCACAAACAGATCATCAGCACAAACAGATCATCAGCACAAACATCATCAGCACAGACAGATCATCAGCACAAACATCATCAGCACAGACAGATCATCAGCACAAACAGATCATCAGCACAAACAGATCATCAGCCCAAACAGATCATCAGCACAAACAGATCATCAACACAGACAGATCATTAGTACAAACAGATCTTCAGCACAGACAGATCATTTGTACAAACAGATCTTCAGCACAGACAACTCATTAGTACAAACAGATCTTCATCACAGACAGATCATTAGTACAAACAGATCTTCAGCACAGATAAATCATTAGTACAAACAGATCTTTAGCACAGACAGATCATCAGCCCAAACAGATCATCAGCACAGACAGATCATTAGCCCAGACAGATCATCAGCCCAAACAGATCATCAGCACAGACAGATCATTAGCCCAAACAGATCATCAGCACAAACATCATCAGCACAGACAGATCATCAGGTTCTGGCACAGACAAATCATTAGCACAAACAGATCATCAGCACAGACAGATCATTAGCCTAACCAGATCATCAGCACAGACAGATCATTAGCCCAAATAGATCATTAGCCCAAACAGATCATCAGTACAGACAGATCATAAGCCCAAACAGATCATCAGCACAGACAGATCATCAGCACAGACAGATCATCAGGTTCTGGCACAGACAGATCATCAGGTTCTGGCACAGACAGATCATCAGGTTCTGGCACAGACAGATCATCAGTACAGACAGATCATCGGCCCAAACAGATCATCAGCACAGACAGATCATCGGCCCAAACAGATCATCAGCACAGACAGCTCATCAGGTTCCGGCACAGACAGATCATAAGCCCAAACAGATCATCAGTACAGACAGATCATCGGCCCAAACAGATCATCAGTACAGACAGATCATCGGCCCAAACAGATCATCAGCACAGACAGCTCATCAGGTTCCGGCACAGACAGATCATCAGGTTCCGGCACAGACAGATCATAAGCCCAAACAGATCATCAGCACAGACAGATCATTAGCCCAAACAGATCATCAGTACAGACAGACCATAAGCCTAAACAGATCATCAGCACAGACAGATCATCAGCCCAAACAGATCATCAGTACAGACAGATCATAAGCCCAAACAGATCATCAGCACAGACAGATCATCAGGTTCTGGCACAGACAGATCATCAGGTTCTGGCACAGACAGATCATCATGTTCTGGCACAGACAGATCATCAGATTCTGGCACAGACAGATCATTAGCCCGAACAGATCATCAGCACAGACCGATCATTAGCCCAAACAGATTATCAGCACAGACAAATTATCAGCACAGACAAATCATCAGCACAGACAGATTATCAGCCCAGACAGATCATCAGCCCAGACAGATCATCAGCCCAGACAGATCATCGGCACAGACAGATCATCGGCACAGACAGATCATCGGCACAGACAGATCATCGGCACAGACAGATCATCAGCCCAAACAGATCATAAGTCCAAACAGATCATCAGCACAGACAAATCATCAGCCCAAACAGATCATCAGTACAGACAGATCATAAGCCCAAACAGATCATCAGCACAGACAGATCATCAGGTTCTGGCACAGACAGATCATCAGGATCTGGCACAGACAGATCATTAGCCCGAACAGATCATCAGCACAGACCGATCATCAGCCCAAACAGATTATCAGCACAGACAAATTATCAGCACAGACAAATCATCAGCACAGACAGATCATCAGCAGAGACAGATCATCAGCACAGACAGATTATCAGCCCAGACAGATCATCAGCCCAGACAGATCATCAGCCCAAACGGATCATTGGCACAAACAGATCATCAGCACAGACAGATCATCAGCACAGACAGATCATCAGCACAGACAGATCATCGGCACAGACAGATCATCAGCACAGACAGATCATCAGCACAGACAGATCATCGGCACAGACAGATCATCAGCACAGACAGATCATCAGCACAGACAGATCATCAGCACAGACAGATCATCAGCCTAGACAGATCATCAAGGTCTGAAGAGAATAGCACAGCAGGGAGTGATCAGGAGATCTGGACAACACTCAGGGGGAAGGCAAGACTTAATTACTTACAGACTGCTACTGGTATGTCAGAATCATAACTCTGTGCTGGCTGCTGAACATAGGGATGGAGCAGTTGTTGGAATATCCTGATTGCTGTGATGGTAGTTCCAAACCCAACTGGACTCAGTCGTGGTCACTGAGAGGAGAAGAATGATTTGGATGGGCGGTCATCTCGGTAAAGTAACTTAAAACATGGACATTACTATCAGCGAGACAGGCATCGACCTAATGTTTCTGCTGTTATGCAGTGTTTGCTACTTTAGACCTGTCTTTCATATTGAATGCTGGCAACACACGTAAGGGCTATGTGGGTGGTCATTTATATTCCTCTCCTCCATTTGTAGAATGCTATATTTGTTTTAAACAGTTGTTAATTTAAAAACCATAATAAGTTCTTTAGTATGAGTATTGAAAAAAATATGGGGTCCCTAGCGGCCATTCAAAAATAAGAGTGGGGGGGGGGGGGGGTAATTATGGGACTGTTGTTTCCCCCCCCCCCCCCCCCCCCAGAAGCCAAGCAGCATCCCAGTGTGAGCAGAAACATGATGTTCTCTGCAAGGTTTAGATTCTGAGTGCCTGTCATCATTGTGATAGTTTGCTGAGACTTAGTTCTTTTTTCTTTTCTCATTTTAGAATGTGATCATTTGCCTGAATGTTGTACAAACAGAACCTTGGTCACGATTAATGAGCTTAAAAAAGTATAATTGTATAATTATGTTATAATGTGCTGTTAGTGCTTGAAGAATGTTATATCTTTGCTTGCATGTTATGCTTGTACAGTGCAGAGTGCTTGAGGCGATCTTGGATGTGGTGAATTTTTGTTTATCCCCGGGAATTTCTTGTTCTTGAACTCTTATCCAGATAGGAAGAACTTTTGATAAGGAGAATCATTTGTGGGTCCCCTGTGAGTTCTCCTGACCAAGTCTGCACTGTATTCAAGAGATGTATGCTAACACAGTTATTCTCTCTCTCTCTCTCCAGTTTGAAGGCCTGGGCTACGGCTACCCAAAGGTCAACCTGCCACTCCTGCCTGTGTTCTATTTTGGTAAGTTTTTTCTGGGTGATAATTTTCTCACATCTGACCAGCTTTGGTATTGCAAGCGATGGTGTAGTAGTTGCTGCAAAGCCTTACCAATTTAAAGTCATAGAGATTTCAACTTTACTACAAACAAGTCACCCCATACATTCTCTGTTCCTGTGCCAGTGAAAACCAAATGAAATGTCTCTCACTCTCTCATTTGAGAAACTGGTGAACAAAAAAATTAGTCGCGGTACAATCCAGGCAATATGCGCATGCAGGAAATGCATAAGTCAGTTGCTAGATGTGCCAAAGCCGACAGTCGACACCAGAAATGCAGTTTGTCGTTGATGGAAGTAATTGGTCATGATAAATTGCTGTACACTTGTAACACTATTACAATAGGTATTTTGCCAACCCACACTGAAACCTTCTGCTGGCCATATTGAATACCACAGTTCAACTGCTGCACAAATGAAAGGCATTCCACATGAAAAACAGTATTTGAGTTTACATTTAATGCTCACATCTGATGCCTCCTCACAATCTCACACTGAAAGGCATTACAAGACTAAAGATAAAGAAGTGTATATAATTAGAAATATTTTATATAAAAAGAATTGTAATAAAAAAAATTTAGAAGTTATCTGGAAGTTAGGTTTACTATACCCTGCATTATTTATACAATTAAATGTTCTATCTTGTAACAGCAAGTTCACAATGTATAAACAACACTGTTAAGACCAGTTGTGACGTAAGGCTCAAAAGGGAATACAACTAACAAAGATGATGCCTTCACATTAACTTTTGAGAACAGTCTTACAATGAATGTTTGGTCCCACTAATGAACAAAACTTAAAATATTTTTCAACTGAGTTTTGGGTGTGAATTTGACCTTTTTTGTGTGTGCAGACTGTTGGTTCCTTACCTCTCAGGCAGATGCCCTCAGACTTTGATGGAAATACACCTAATTAGTCATCTTTATGACATGCATGTTCAGTAAGTACTGGGTCGGCTGCCTCATATGCCTTCAGGCATATAGGGCATAACAGGCTAGACTTGTATTTTGTGGACCAGTTGATACTCAGAGGGTGATGTGGTGAGCCTTTACTTTCCAGGATTATGCGTGGTACCCACTTAAGACTGGGTCTGGAAGTCAAAGTGTAGGACCCGAACCTCACAACCTTCTTATCTGCAGGCAAGTGTCTAGCCGCTATACCATGGTGGCTCCCTTCTGTCTGTTTACATATGGTCTGCTTGAAAGTTAAAGTTGTTTGTATAAATACTGTGATAACTGATCTACTGACTTGTCTCTTCCAAAGCCTGGCTGACAGAACTGATTCACTGACTTGTCTCTTCCAAAGCCTGGCTGACAGAACTGATTCACTGACTTGTCTCTTTCAATGCCTGGCTGACAGAACAGATTCACTGACTTGTCTCTTTCAATGCCTGGCTGACAGAACTGATTCACTGACTTTATCAATGCCTGGCTGACAGAACTGATTCACTGACTTTATCAATGCCTGGCTGACAGAACTAATTCACTGACTTGTCTCTTTCAATGCCTGGCTGACAGAACAGATTCACTGACTTGTCTCTTTCAATGCCTGGCTGACAGAACTGATTCACTGACTTTATCAATGCCTGGCTGACAGAACAGATTCACTGACTTGTCTCTTTCAATGCCTGGCTGACAGAACAGATTCACTGACTTGTCTCTTTCAATGCCTGGCTGACAGAACTGATTCACTGACTTTATCAATGCCTGGCTGACAGAACTGATTCACTGACTTTATCAATGCCTGGCTGACAGAACTGATTCACTGACTTGTCTCTTTCAATGCCTGGCTGACAGAACTGATTCACTGACTTGTCTCTTTCAATGCCTGGCCAACAGATCTAATCCACTGACTTGTCTCTTTCAATGCCTGGCTGACAGAACTGATTCACTGACTTGTCTCTTCCAAAGCCTGGCTGACCGAACTAATCCATGCCATTGTCAGCCCTGTCTACAACTTCCAACCATTGCTGACCCGCACAGAGGTGAGTCAGTAAATACTTGTAGAGGTGGCTCTTAGTTATGTACCACACAGCTGGGTCCGGGTTAGGTCCCACACAGGTGGGTCTGGGTCAGTCCCAAACAGGTGGCTCTTGGTCAGTCCCAAACAGGTGGCTCTTAGTCAGTCCCAAACAGGTGGCTCTTAGTCATGTTCCACAAAGGTGGGTCCAAGTCAGGTCCTACAGAGATGGCTCGTAAGAATGCTCCAGAGAGGTGGGTGGTAGTAATGTCCCACAGAGATGGCTCGTAAGCCCCAGAGAGGTGGGTGGTAGTAATGTCCCACAGAGATGGCTCGTAAGAATGCCCCAGAGAGGTGGGTGGTAGTAATGTCCTACAGAGGTGGCTTGTAAGAATGTCCCAGAAAGGTGGGTGATAGTAATGACCCACAGAGGTGGCTTGTAAGAATGTCCCAGAGAGGTGGGTTTTAGTAATGACCCACAGAGGTGAATTGAAAGAATGCCCCAGAGAGGTGGGTTTTAGTAATGTCCCACAGAGATGGCTCGTAAGAATGCCCCAGAGAGGTGGGTGGTACTAATGTCCCACAGAGATGGCTCGTAAGAATGCCCCAGAGAGGTGGGTGGTAGTAATGTCCTACAGAGGTGGCTTGTAAGAATGCCCCAGAGAGGTGGGTTTTAGTAATGACCCACAGAGATGGTTCGGAAGAATATCCCAGAGAGGTGAGTGGTAGTAATAACCCACATAAAGGACTACCTAGTAATGTCACAGACAGGTGGTGGTAGTTATTCTCCCAGAGATGTGTGGTAGCAGTATTTTCAGCAATTTTATCTTGACTGTTTCCCCATCCAATTTATGCATTGTTGTCTTTATTTTCCATCTAGTGTATGTATTATTGTGTCCATTTCCATCCAGTTTACATAGTGTTGGCTTAAGATGGTTTCCCCACTCAGTTTATGTAGCTCTGTCTTGAGAATTTTTTTCCGCCTAGTTTATTTGGTGTTGTCTTGAGATTCTTTTTATCCAGTTTATACTTTACTCTCTTTAGATTTTTTCCACCCAGTTTATGCAGTGTAGACTTTAGTTTATTTTCCACCCAGTTTATGCAATGTTGCTTTAGATTATTTCCCACCCAGTTTATGCAATGTTGCTTTAGATTATTTTCCACCCAGTTTATGCAGTCTTGTCTTTAGTTTATTTTCCACCCAGTTTATGCAGTCTTGTCTTTAGTTTATTTTCCACCCAGTTTATGCAATGTTGCTTTAGATTATTTCCCACCCAGTTTATGCAATGTTGCTTTAGATTATTTTCCACCCAGTTTATGCAGTCTTGTCTTTACTTTCCACCCAGTTTATGCAGTCTTGTCTTTAGTTTATTTTCCACCCAGTTTATGCAGTCTTGTCTTTAGTTTATTTTCCACCCAGTTTATGCAATGTTGCTTTAGATTATTTCCCACCCAGTTTATGCAATGTTGCTTTAGATTATTTTCCACCCAGTTTATGCAGTCTTGTCTTTACTTTCCACCCAGTTTATGCAGTCTTGTCTTTAGTTTATTTTTCACCCAGTTTATGCAGTCTTGTCTTTAGTTTATTTTCCACCCAGTTTATGCAATGTTGCTTTAGATTATTTCCCACCCAGTTTATGCAATGTTGCTTTAGATTATTTTCCACCCAGTTTATGCAGTCTTGTCTTTACTTTCCACCCAGTTTATGCAGTCTTGTCTTTACTTTCCACCCAGTTTATGCAGTCTTGTCTTTACTTTCCACCCAGTTTATGCAGTGGTGCTTTAGATTATTTCCCACCCAGTTTATGCAGTGGTGCTTTAGATTATTTCCCACCCAGTTTATGCAGTGCTGTCTCCCCTCACCCCCCTTTCCTCACTTCCCTCAGGTGTACAAGACAGGTGTCACCCACTACTTCAGTATCCAGAATGCCACCAAGGATCTCAACTACCACCCCACGGTTCACAACGACCTGTCTGGGGTTGTGGCTTACTACAAGAAGCTCGGACGGGTCAAGGGTCATCAGTCATCCATATTCATGTATTATTTGGTCAATGCCATCATCATATTCTTCATATACAACCTTTTTATCTTCATTTTACCTGGTGTAACCGGGCTAGCGTCCAGTTTGACCACTGGTGCAACTGGGTTGTACTCCAGTCTCACCTGTTTAGACTATAGTGATAGTTAACCAACAGTTTTATTTGTATAAATTTTTAAAAATAATAATCAGTGACAATTGTTTTTTAAATTCTATAAATATATTTTTTTTAAATTTAAAATAATTTAATTTTATATCAAGAATTGTTCAGACTAACAGGTCGTACATGGGTCTGGTCATACGTCAGATTAATTAACACTATTTTCATTCTGAGGGCTTACCCAGACTGACTGCAAGAAAAACACATACAAACGCAATCTGTATATTTATAATTATTGTACATGCTTGGAGTAAAAGAGAGAATACATTTCTGAGGTAACTGGGAAAAGTTAGGGGTTCAGTTTATGCCATGGCCACATCACGCATGTGAAGCTACCGGTGGGTGTTGTATGGTATAGATGTTTGTTTTACAAATATGTATTGGCTGATGATAGACAACAGTTCCTCAAACAGTTCACAGATGTGAATTCAAGAAACTGTCGTCTGTTTTAGACATGGTTGAATAGACTAGACATATGTATAACATTCACACATTGTACTGCAATATACATCTTTCATCTGTGTCCCTGGGTAAATAGGAGACTTGTGTTGTGGTCCAAGATTTGTTATTTGGCACGCAGATGTTTTGAACAACACTGAAACTAACAGTAATGTGCTGCAGAACTAAACAGATTTGCAGTATGCATACAGTTTCCCATAATTTGATGTATCTTTTGCTGCATGCATCTATAAAATGATGGTTGGCATGTTGTGGTTTACAGCTGGGCTGTGATATCTGCCCCGAAGATCTGTTTTTCCGGCCAGCCCCTAATTATGGACTTTTTATTTGAGGGCCCGTGGACTTTTATTCCCATCTTTCTTCCCCCACCACACTTTTGTGATCTAATACAGTGCACACCAATTCAGGTGATCTTGGATGTGGCGTGTTTCTGTTCTGAAGAACAGTTTATTTATCCCCAGCAATTGTTCTTGTTTGAATTATGATCTGGATATAAGAAGTTTCTGATGAGAAGAACCATTGGCTCCCTTACCAGGTCTGCACTGTGCACTACCTTCTGTATACTTTATGTTGGCAACTGATTTATTTGGGGTTTGATCAATCTTTGTGTGGGTTTGGGATCCTTTGGTGATGGTGGAGGGGAAAGGAATGAATCCACTGCCCCCCCCCCCCCTCAACTAGCATGTCATAAAAGGCTTAATTGGGGAGGGGGGGGGTTGAAATCTGATGTGCTGGAACACATTGCTGCCCTTTTGAGGCAGAACGAACAAAAAGAAGTTCAACTAGTATCTCATGAAAGAAGAAACGTGAACTCTGGGGAATGGATGACAACTTTATTTAGAGGTACTAAATTGTATCAACTTTTTACTAGTTTGACACAGAAACCTGTGCTAACATGCATTCATTAATATCTCTAACATAACATGTGGTTGATAGTTGTACCATAAAATATACATACAGTAGTTATCAGTCAACATAATCACAGATTGAAATATTAAAGAGAGTTACCTGACATGGCGTGTACCGGTTGCTGGGTCTATCTGACATGGCGTGTACCCGTTGCTGGGACCAACTTTATTTTAGGTATTATTTTTTAGTTAAAAAAGTTATATTGTGAATTTTCTGTGACATTTCTCCCAGTGGCCAGTTACCTTGTTAGCTGGTCAAAGGGAGGAAATCAGATAAATATCTGCTGTTAGTAATTACTCTCCTTCACAGCCAGACCGAGTAGACAGCCAGGAAGGAGAGTGGTGGGTGGGTTTATTATTTTTTTTTTTTAAAAGGGGTATGCAAGTAACAGTAAAAGATCCTTGTGTGCCAGGTCTATTTGATACCATCCCTATATACTATGTGAACTGATACATCCCAACTGAGCACAAAAATACCAACAATCTGAACTAATACATACAACATCTACACCAATGCATAATAATATCTATTTATATCATCCTAATTAACATGTGCAATCTGAATACAATACAGATAGCATGCAGTCATGCATGCTAATGCCAGCTATGTAATTTATGAACTAGCTCAAATGAATCACTTCACAATAAAACATGGCTTTATACAAGTTCCAGTGGCCACACGGACACGGGTCACATATCACAATCATAAACAACAAATGTCAGGGAGTCCAGTATTTCAATTCTGTGCCACCAAGTGGGATGAATTCCAGAATAACAAAGAAATGTCTGGACACCCTCAACGGTTACGAGACAAAGAAGAGAAGACAACAAAGAATCACAAAATAGGCATTGAAATGATAAACAAATGGATTCAGGAGTTGAGCACATCCAGAAAGAAACCCTAAAATGAACACTGATGAGAGAGGCTAAAGATGATGGACTGGATTCTATCCACGAAACCAAAATACATAACCCATAGGATAGAATGGAATAGAAAAATAGACTGGGAACCTATGTCACCTAAAATAGCACAACAATGGTGAGTAGAAAGTAACTGGAGACCTCAGAGATTTAGAAAGTCATGACACTCTCCTTCTTTTATGAAGAATGTCAAACTCTCCTCCTTCTTTTACGTACAATGTCAAACTCACTCTCCTCCTTCTTTTACGTACAATGTCAAACTCACTCTCCTCCTCCTTTTTTTTTTTTTAAATGTAGAATGTCAAACTTTGATTGTTCACAAGTTCTGGGGAAGGGTAATTTGCAAAGACACTTTGTATTTTTGGTCACCACATGAAATGTGAGGGCTAGGAGATATTTCTAACAACAACACAAACTCAAGAAGTGGATGCTGTCAACATAAGAACACAATGCTGGATAGGCTGCTCTATGGGCATTAAAGATGATCGGCAGCAACACAGATCAGGAGGGGAAAAAAGGCCAGAGATTTGTGGTGAAACTTACCAAGAACAGAGATTTGTGGTGAAACTTACCAAGAACAGAGATTTGTTGTGAGACTTACCAAGAATAGAGATTTGTGTTGAAACTTACCAAGAACAGAGATTTGTGGTGAAACTTACCAAGAACAGAGATTTGTGGTGAAACTTACCAAGAACAGAGATTTGTGGTGAAACTTACCAAGAACAGAACAAAGATTTGTCATAAACTTGTCAAGAATAAAGATTTGTGCACAAGCTTTCCAAGAACACGGATTAGTGGAGAAGCCCATCAGGAACGGAGATTTGTGGAGAAGCCCATCAGGAACGGAGATTTGTGGAGAAGCCCATCAGGAACGGAGATTTGTGGAGAAGCCCATCAGGAAGGGACATTTGTGGAGAAGCCCATCAGGAACGGAGATTTGTGGAGAAGCCCATCAGGAACGGAGATTTGTGGAGAAGCCCATCAGGAACGGAGATTTGTGGAGAAGCCCATCAGGAACGGAGATTTGTGGAGAAGCCCATCAGGAACGGAGATTTGTGGAGAAGCCCATCAGGAACGGAGATTTGTGGAGAAGCCCATCAGGAACGGAGATTTGTGGAGAAGCCCATCAGGAACGGAGATTTGTGGAGAAGCCCATCAGGAACGGAGATTTGTGGAGAAGCCCATCAGGAACGGAGATTTGTGGAGAAGCCCATCAGGAACGGAGATTTGTGGAGAAGCCCATCAGGAACGGAGATTTGTGGAGAAGCCCATCAGGAACGGAGATTTGTGGAGAAGCCCATCAGGAACGGAGATTTGTGGAGAAGCCCATCAGGAACGGAGATTTGTGGAGAAGCCCATCAGGAACGGAGATTTGTGGAGAAGCCCATCAGGAACGGAGATTTGTGGAGAAGCCCATCAGGAACGGAGATTTGTGGAGAAGCCCATCAGGAACGGAGATTTGTGGAGAAGCCCATCAGGAACGGAGATTTGTGGAGAAGCCCATCAGGAACGGAGATTTGTGGAGAAGCCCATCAGGAACGGACATTTGTGGAGAAGCCCATCAGGAAGGGACATTTGTGGAGAAGCCCATCAGGAAGGGACATTTGTGGAGAAGCCCATCAGGAACGGAGATTTGTGGAGAAGCCCATCAGGAACGGAGATTTGTGGAGAAGCCCATCAGGAACGGAGATTTGTGGAGAAGCCCATCAGGAACGGAGATTTGTGGAGAAGCCCATGAGGAACGGAGATTTGTGGAGAAGCCCATCAGGAACGGAGATTTGTGGAGAAGCCCATCAGGAAGGGACATTTGTGGAGAAGCCCATCAGGAACGGAGATTTGTGGAGAAGCCCATCAGGAACGGAGATTTGTGGAGAAGCCCATCAGGAACGGAGATTTGTGGAGAAGCCCATCAGGAACGGAGATTTGTGGAGAAGCCCATCAGGAACGGAGATTTGTGGAGAAGCCCATCAGGAACGGAGATTTGTGGAGAAGCCCATCAGGAACGGAGATTTGTGGAGAAGCCCATCAGGAACGGAGATTTGTGGAGAAGCCCATCAGGAACGGAGATTTGTGGAGAAGCCCATCAGGAACGGAGATTTGTGGAGAAGCCCATCAGGAACGGAGATTTGTGGAGAAGCCCATCAGGAACGGAGATTTGTGGAGAAGCCCATCAGGAACGGAGATTTGTGCAGAAGCCCATCAGGAACGGAGATTTGTGGAGAAGCCCATCAGGAACGGAGATTTGTGGAGAAGCCCATCAGGAACGGAGATTTGTGGAGAAGCCCATCAGGAACGGAGATTTGTGGAGAAGCCCATCAGGAACGGAGATTTGTGGAGAAGCCCATCAGGAACGGAGATTTGTGGAGAAGCCCATCAGGAACGGAGATTTGTGGAGAAGCCCATCAGGAACGGAGATTTGTGGAGAAGCCCATCAGGAACGGACATTTGTGGAGAAGCCCATCAGGAAGGGACATTTGTGGAGAAGCCCATCAGGAAGGGACATTTGTGGAGAAGCCCATCAGGAACGGAGATTTGTGGAGAAGCCCATCAGGAACAGAGATTTGTGGAGAAGCCCATCAGGAACGGAGATTTGTGGAGAAGCCCATCAGGAACGGAGATTTGTGGAGAAGCCCATCAGGAACGGAGATTTGTGGAGAAGCCCATCAGGAACGGACATTTGTGGAGAAGCCCATCAGGAAGGG